CATATTGTTACTTATACAAGTATTTAAGGGTAGAATGATCCCTTACAACCATATTGTTACTTATATAAGTATTTATGGGTAGAATGATCCCTTACAACCATATTGTTACTTATATAAGTATTTATGGGTAGAATGACCCCTTACAACCATATTGTTACTTGTAGAAGTATTTATTATTTATAAAGGTTTTTGCCCCTAATGAGGTAAAAGTTCTATTTAAGATAAATAAGCAAATGACATCTTAAAGTAAGTTTCTTGTTCTAATGGAACTCAACAAGCATTAAATCGAAAAAAGTAAAATTCAAAAGATTTTAGGTCTCCATTAAATGACATATGACATTAGAATTTGCTTTTTGTATAAAATAGTCTATTCTTTAGTAGGTGGCATTACATATGTGCATGTATAAGTTTGTACTTACTGTCTACTTCAGAATAATGGTTTATTTTGTTGAGCTGGTATTTTTATCCATTTACCAGCCATCCTTACCCAGGTATTACCTGAGCAGAGGGCCGATGTTTAGCTATTTTTAAAGCATGGCACATGTATTCACTGTCTCTGAAAATTGCTGCTCTTGCTTAGTCTCGGCTTGACGATGAGCAGCTTGCCTTTTTTGTTGACTGTCAAGGCACGTTTCCTTTTCTTCTAGAGTATCACTCTGTCAATTTTGTTACATATGTTTTGTTGCATGTGATTGGCAATCAGAATTTTTTTTCTCAGAGGTGCATAATCACCCTCAGAAATGTTTATCATACCTAACTACCCCTCCAAAAATAAAGTGAATAACAAAACCATTTATTTTTTCAGAATATTGTGGGTTCAACTTGTCTATTCTATAAAAAAGTTAGTCTTGTTTTGTCAGGGATTTGATGGATTTTTATTCTGACTCCACAACAGCAGCATTCCTCTCTATAAAATACACATACACTTTTTCTGATGTCATTTCCACTTAGAGCAGACCAAAAATCTGGTCTGTCTTCTGTGGAAAAAAATTTAGATTACAAAGTTTCATTGACACTAAAAATGTGTCATCACAGACTTTAAACCTGAGTATGCTGATTCCATGTCTTTATAAGCCTACTATTATACAGGCTAAAAAGTGTGAACAAACAGACATAAACTTAGCTTTATATATTAGATTACATTTTATAAGTTCCACAGATGCTTTGTTGATAAGGATCTTTTTTCTTCTAATTAAAATGTCATTAAATTACTGCTTAATTACCAAATATGACATTTTTCAATTAATACCGTTTATAAATTTTCAAAATGACTGTTAATTTTAATTCCATAATTTTTTATACTTACTTATCTACATATAGAAAACACTATATAGTTTTTTGTGTAAGTACTCACTTCCAGGAAAATGTAGTTTCTTTAGATCTTTCATAATTTATTTTTTATAACTTGTCTAGCTCAACATAGTCCAATATGATTATGCCTATTTATTTTTTGATATAATGTTGATATACACAGTTTATATAAATTGTATTTTGTGTGTGTGTGCCTTGTAGATGTATGCCATGGTAAGTGGAGCACTGGACCGACTTCACTATGAGAAAGACCCGTGTGTGAAGTATGACGTCAATAGAAAACTATGGATTTATCTACATCGTAACAGAACAGAAGAGGAATTTGGTATGATTACATTTATTGTGGTAACAGAAAGAGTTTTACACGTATTTGATACTTACCAATATTTGACTTGTTACTATCAAAACTTTAAGAAATATACATTTTTCTACTTAGGTTTATGTGTAGTTGATAAAATTGCTCTTACTTGAGAGTAAATTTATATTCACTGGTTCTATTTTGTCTATTAAAAATGTTGTTCATTTATTGTACTTATATTTTCATCCAAAAAAATATAAATTCCTAATCATTTTCATTCCTCTCACTCATAAAAAGTCTGTCCATTTTAATATGGAACTTTAGGCCAACTTATACTACATATTAAGTAAATTTTTGTATGATAGCCAAGTAAAATTATAAAACATATCAATCAGCCTACCTGCATAAGAATAGCAGGAGTTACAATAATCTGTGGTCAAACCCATCTAACTAAAAGAAGGCACATAGGAATAGTTAAATCCACAAGATGGGAAGTGTTGAGTTTATACTAGATTATTTTCTGTGTACTATAGTACCGAACATATTCTAATACTGAGTTTTATTACCTATGTGTCTGAACTTCCTTGATTCTATGTACCACAAATTGTCTTCTGAATTACTTTGATGTAAAGTCCTTTAAAGTACAATCTTCATGAACAAAAATAGGTAAGCTGTTAACACAAATAGGTGCTTGTAGGTAAGTAGGTTTAACATGAACAGAATAACTTTGAAAGTAGGTAAGCTGATAACACAAATACGTGCTTGTAGTTAAGTAGGTTTAAAATGAACAGAATAACTTTGAAAGTAGGTAAGCTGATAACACAAATAGGTGTTTGTAGTTAAGTAGGTTTAACATGAACAGAATAACTTTGAAAGTAGGTAAGCTGATAACACAAATAGGTGCTTGTAGTTAAGTAGGTTTAACATGAGTAGAATAACTTTGAAAGTAGGTAAGCTGATAACACAAATAGGTGCTTGTAGGTAAGTAGGTTTAACATGAACAGAATAACTTTGAAAGTAGGTAAGCTGATAACACAAATAGGTGCATGTAGGTAAGTAGGTTTAACATGAACAGAATAACTTTGAAAGTAGGTAAGCTG